CTTCAAAATATCGCGGCAAAAAAATAAAGCCCCCCCCAAAAAAAACAGTCATTGCATGATGATAACATCGCAACTATTAAAATTAATATTTTTTATGATGACGCATTAATAGATTTTCATGACACAATATTGCATAAAAATGATTAGAGATAGGAAGATACGTAAGTTTTAAATTCTACTAACTGCTAATTCATTATTTTCTATTATTTTACAGATTTTAAATGCTTAAGTTTATCTCTTGCTTTTTCAGTAAAATTTATCAGTTATTGTAAAAAAGGAATCATAGAGATAAAATATTACTTATTTCTTCTTGCACTCGCAAATCATTACGCAAAAATTCGCTTAAAAGTTTTAACGTTAGAAAACGCCTGCCTGCGATATTATCATTACGCGATGATTTGAAGATGCTTTATTATTTTACCATAATGTTTTGAACGATGATGTTTTAAAATTACGAATTTTTTGCAGCTGTTTATTTTCTACCTCTTTTCTTTCTTTTCGCCCACTATGTTTTTGACTACTACGTTTTCCTCTTCTTGCACTGGTTTCTTTGCGACGTTATCATATGAGTACACCTGTACAATCAGAAAACATTACAAAACTGTTCCTAAAACTAACAAAAAAATCTTTATTAACAGCAAGAAGAACAATAAATATTTCCTTCGTGTTGGTTGTAATTTAATTTAACTTAACGCCCGACATCATTCTTTTATGATTTTTTATGATAGCCTATTTTAGATATTTCATCCTATATTAAACACTGTCTCCTACTGCATTTGCGATGAACTAATCTGAGTATTATATTGATGTAAAAAAATCTGATGTGTACACCACATGACTTCCTTGTACGGAATATTTAATCATACGCATTTTTTCTTGCATTTCATTTAAACTTATTTTGAATTAAATCTACTTCGCCGACAGCACATAAACCACAATAGAATAAATGCATTCTTTAAAATTCACTCTAGTATTTGTTTACCATAGCGACACTCTGGCGCTAGATTCACTTAACAGTATTAATAATTATATAACAGTTAACTTATATAATACTTATATAACGGAAACTAAGTTAACTGTTTAACTTAGTTTCCGTTATATGCTTTATAATCCAATAATTATATAACAGTTAACTTATATATTTCGTTCATATTATAACTCATAATGCACAAAATTTATATCATTTAAAGAGTAGAATTATCTAATCGTTGCCGCATGTTCTATTCAAATACTATAATAAAGCTAGAATGATGTATAAAAGAAATTGAGCAAACAAAACAAAAAAGAAACAGTTTTTCACAGACGATTGAGTATTTCTCATTTAATTAATTCAGTTCTCACTTCGCGAGAAGGCAAAAATACATAAAAACTCAAAATATCTATATTAAAAATTACGATCTTAAACACTTATTTCCTCGAAAAAATTCCAGAAAGAATTAAGCATGATTTAATTGGCAATAATAAATGAATGCGTTATCTTCGTTGTTGCGAAGCTAAGTTTCTCTAGATTGGTAACAAATCCACTAGTCTCCTGTTTCAAATGTAAACATCAATGGCCGCCATAAAAAAAGGCTTAGCGGCACTTAGACAACTTTAAAATTGTTGATAATTCTAAAAATATTGCATACAGATTTACTAAAGGCATAAAAACCTTAACCGGAAGATAAAAAACAACATAATACAATCATTTTTAAAGCAAAAAAATGTACAATTTACAAACATATAAGAGTAAAGAAACCTGAGATCACTGAGCCGGGTAACAGAGTGGATATATATATAAATATATTTATATACGTTTGGTGCAGCCGATTGCAACCAAAATACGAGGTGCACATCTACATGTTATAGTAGTCATATACAAAATTTCAACGTTCTGAGGCTACTCGTTTTTGAGTTATGCGAGATACGTACGTACGTACGCACGTACATACATACGTTCGTACAGACGCCACGAAAAATTCTCTTCAGAATTAATTTTAAAGCAGTTTTATAATTTTTTTGAAGGAAAAGAGTATTTTATTCTGTCCTTACGTACAGATATCACGCAAAAACATCGTTAAATTGCATTCGATAGCGGTCAAAATGTATTTTTTCGTTGAAATATGCTGCCTGAAAGTTTTCGCGATTACAATCGAGCTTCCTTTTTACTTCTTACAAGGAAGTAAAAATTAAAGATTAATTTAGAAATGAAATAGATGAAAATATTCTTTCTATGCGATCTTGTGATATTTAGTCCTCATTTAGTGATTAGCATATCAGTTCGGCAATACGAAGACATAGTTTAAATTTCAAACGAGAAAAAAGTAAATATTTTGAAGAAATTCCGCACTAAAATGCTAATGTGCTTACTGAGGTACCTCAGCTGAAAAACGGTAAACATTATGTCGTCACCAAGGGCTGGGATTTCTTCTCAGTCACCATTCAAGTACAGGGAGAAAGTAAGGAATTAAAACCTTTTCTTGCTTGCAGTTTTGTGATTTACGAGACATATATGAGTCTGTTAATCTGAAGACCCGGATCTGATTTCCCGCTTAGAGCACGATGGATTTTTCAAGAAATCGCACTCAATATACTGCATCACTATATACTTAAGTAATGGTTTATGGTTGCGAATGCAGTTAAAGTAGCTGAAGACCTATACTTATGCGGATCTGAGTATAGCGAAGAATGAATCGTTTGAGCATGAGTATTTTTCACTTATAGCTCGAAATATGCAAAATAAAGGCACTTATTTGCATTGAGACTTACCCCACATTTTTGTCTCACATGTTATTGAAAGTACTGAGGTATTATTGAAAATATTTATAAGGAAGCATTTAGATGTGGTGTATGATAGTCTGTGGAAAAAAGATCAGTCTGAATCAGAAGCCTGCACAGAATTTAATATTTCCTAAAACGTCATTTCAAGAATATTGAGATAAATGAAGCAATATATGGTTTGTGCACGGAGAGTGAATAAGAAATTACGTTCCTTTCTAAGTAACTTGGGGAACAGGGAACATAGTGTTTGGCTTTAATGAAAGAATCATACTGCATAAGATGAGACTTGTTAAAGCGTTCCCTACTGGAGAAATTTAGAACTTTGACATTCAGAATTCATTCTCAAAAACTATGAGCGATATAGAAAAAAAATCAGTTACGAAGTTGTATCATCAGTTTAGCATGAAAAGACATATTGTGCATTGCGAATAAAATGAATAGTTGCCTGTATAGTCTAGAATGCCTGAAAGCGATGCTCAACGTTTTGCTGGAAAGATAAAAAAAAGACTCGACAATGAGCACAAAATTATAATTTAACCAACAAATATGCATTATGTCAATAACGCCTTGAGGAGATCAGGCAATAAAGCAAAGTATGTAAATAGTCTCATACTGCTTATAAGTTATTGGTGAAGCATGTTTAGAGAGGTTACCAGCGAGTATTGCAGTAACGGTAACTTCCAGTGGGGCCCATAGTAACCTCCGATGGTTAACAATAATGGTTTTGGATTTAAAACGATTGCCTTTGCATATATTTAAAGAGAAAAAAAAATTCCATTTTGCGTTCTGAGAAAATACTCATTTTGGATAAATAAAACTTCCTGCATATGTTTAGGATATTTTAGGCTGTATAGGCGACAATTTAACTCATCCTTGTGCAAGATATATCTTTTCGTACTTAATCGATGGTGCTGTACAACAGTGCAGCAAATATTACTCCCGCATCTCTCATACTTTCCGATATAGGATCATGAAGTTTAGAATTTCATCATAGTGGGTGTTGCAACTGGTGTTATTTTGTAGGGCATGGTTCCTTTAATTATAACATTCTTAGCTATAGCTAGCTCTATTTGTCAGTTACTTTAGAGATGAAAGGAATTCCTTATTCTCTCCCAGTAAAGCGTATTTAAATGGAATCTGCAGCATTTTCTGTGAAGCCCATATAGCAGGACAAATACTCTGTTCATGGAGGAGTCACAGAACAGTTTGAGTTGTGATTCTTGAGAGCCTTTCAGCTAATAAAAACCTGCAATAAAGCATGTTCCCGCTAATAAATAACAACATAAAACTTTATGGTGTTCATTTCACTAAGAAAATTCTGGTAACTGGATGTGTATTAAAATTCGGCAAGAAAGCAACCTCAGATTAAAGTAGATTTTGAATAAAACTTTATCGATCTGACGATGGTAACTTTTCTTCAATGGGAAAGGATTTTCGCCAAACCAATATATTTTTTTCTTTCGAAAAAGAGAGTCTTACGTCAGATCGCCCTTGAAATCGATAAAGATTTTTTCAAAACCTACGACTACTTAGAAGACCAGCAAACACGAAAATATTCAAAAATATTTCTTCCTTACGTAGCTTCCGCCTTAATTGGTATGTGATTAGCGACGCTGCCCGCCGCATCGTTGAGCCTAGGTTCGAATCCTGGAGAAGGCATTGATGTTTATAAGCGTATAGTGCCTGTGCCGCATGGGCTTACTTAAAACACTGACGAACCGAAAGTTCAGTCGAGTGATTTAGTGGTAAAGTAAAAGGACAGACTCGTATACCTGGGATGCTTTCTGTCAGCTGCACAGTTAGGGCGGGGACATTGCATCTGTGCAAACACTATTGAAATTCAGATATTCTCCTTACATTCATCTGCCTTATATAGCTGCGCATAGTTCAGAAGAATAAAAATACATTTTTTAATGAACATCACACAAAGATTTTAATTTCTTTTATTGTAACAAATGTCGAAACAGACGTTCATTTAAATAATTATTCATAGTGCATCTAACTTTTAGTTGTTTTTAATATTTTTCGGTTACGCAGCTTATTTGTGAACGTTTTCAAAATATCGTAAGTTATTAAACGTATCCCAATATATTTATTAAAACATTTCACCATATATGTGAACCTGTTTATTCCAAACCCTAGTTTTCCAGAGGTTTACTGTATTTTGTTTAAAACTAGTCATTTTTTCTGATATAACTAGCCTTTTATGTCATATTTATCATAAGTCTATTATTTTTTAGGAAGTAAAGTCTTTGAAAGTATGCAAGATGGCTTTACTCAAATCTTGTTGTTGCTGGAAATCGGTGAGAAGTGGAAGTTTTGCAAGCGGCATTTACACCATGGTAAGATATTTGTATACGCTTGTTTAAGAACGTCCTACTTTAGTTCGTTATGAAATATTTACTTAAAAATATGTTCTATAGGATGCAGAAAAGCGGAATTTTTATGATATTCCCTTATGAAAGAAGCTTTCTTAATAATTTTACCAATAGAAATTCATTCGTGAAAGCTTAAATCTTTTAACCAGTTAAACTTTTAAATCACCATGAGGAGATCTGTGTACATCTGTTTCAGAAAACATTTCTCTGCAGAACGGTGTCAAATACCTGCATAAAAATAGTTTTATAGAAGGCAGAAAGCTTAAATTTCCATGATAGTCCTTTATGAAAGAACGTTTCCTAATCATTTCACTCGAAATAGCTTAAATTTTTAATGAGTTTACTTGTCAAACTACCTAAGCCCTATAATTTAAGGAAACACAGAATAGATGAAATTAAAATAACAAGTATGTCAAACTAGAGGATGGAAAACATGTTGCAAAATAGCGGTAAAATATTTAACTGCATTCTTAAGGTAAAAAACTTATTTATGGTATAAATATTCTTTTACACACTCATGCATTACAGTCTAATGATTAAATATTCTTAACTAAATTTATTCCAAAATCTTTTAAGAAGCGCAGAAGGTAATCATATTAAACTTTCCTCGGTGAAATTGAAATTTCTAATCAGTTAGACATTTTGGTTTTCCAGAAACCGAGAAGAGAGGAATTTATTAATTAAAATTCAATGACATTTTTCTTATTTAAGGCGCTATATCATTATTCCTTCACGCAATCCTCAAACGCGTAGAAGTGGAAAATGAAGAATATCACCACCGTAAATGTTTCCGAATAAATGCATTTCTTCGAGATTTATAGAAGGCGACAAAATATTTGCAGTCTGGTGAAAATCCTCTGATCTAATCGGATCACGTATAAGCTCTTGCAAAATAAAATGACAGTAATATTTTCAGACATATGCTCAGGGAGAAGGCGGAAAATAGAATGCTTACTCCTCTTGGATGAGCCTGATGTTAAGAATGCTTAACAAGTCATGCTATACATAGGCATTGTTTCACGCAAGCTGCTCGGATTATATATTATTAATTTTTCCACTCATCTTCCTTCAATAATCTCTTATTTAATTAATAAGGGTAAGTAATAACGCTTTCTGTAGTTGAAGTTTGTTTTATACATCTGTTTTATTTAAATTCTTTGCTTCAGGGTTTAAGGCTTTATTTGCGGATGCCACACATAAAACGAAAACGCAATTCTTGATTTTCCAAAGTGATATGATTCTACGAATTTGGACATTTTATTTTAAATTTACAGTCTTCTCTGTTTAAACATATTCTTCCAATATAATCTTCGTTATTTCACCAACTTATGTCATAATTTGGGTATTCATTGTGATCAGTTTCAAAGAAGCTAAGATTCGGCCAAATTATGTATATGATGAAGAAGGCTAAATTGACTCTACCTGGCTTTCAGAATAATTCTCAATGCGATTCCTAATACGGAAAGACTTTACGAACTAGAATGTCTATGTGTAATAAATGAAAAAGAAACTGTATATCACTTTGATAGATGATACTCAAAGAAGTGAAGAACATACTAGATCACGTAAAGAAAAAAATAAAGTCAAGGAAGAGGCTTTTGATTATTATAAAGATTCCTTGAAAAAACACGAGTTCATTTCTTGACAACTAAGTTTTCGTAATTTGCGAAATCTACGATTTCGAGTTAAAAGGAAGATTACAAACACTTTAGGAGAGATAAGATACAGGTATTAAACACTGCGGCCTTAACTACAAGAACAGTATTATAATAACAAACCGAAACCTTATCTTTTTAACTTAATTTACCTGTATATGACGCTAACTGATTTGCGAAGGTAAGGAAATCAGATGAACAGTTTTGAATGTTTAGTGATTCGTTGGTTATGACGATTAGCAACAAATCAGGAAATGATAATTCAAATGCGCTGTGATATTAAGTTATACTTCTCATAGCTCTCGCAATATTAATATATGTCAAAAACGTGTTGTGCAGCTTTGTTACTTTAATTATTTAAGTATCTCAATTAAATTTCTCTGATAGTAGAAAATAAGGAAATGCTGATCTAAATGCGCTGTTATATTAGTTTATTCTTATCATAGCTCTCGGAATATTAAAATATGTCAAAACAAGTTATACGGCCTCATTACTTCAATTACTTAAGAACCCAATTGAAATTTTATATTAAACGTGCTTGCTTTAACTACGAGGGCTATCCAGAAAGTAGATTACGTTTTGGAATAAAAAAATAAACAAAGTATAGGAAACAAATTTTATTATATACAGATGAAAGCCACACTCAAATACTACTTTTCTACATAGTCACCATACAAATTAAGGCATTTATCGTAGCGATGTACGAGCTTGGAAATTCCTTCGTCGAAAAAATTCGGCCGCCTGCGCCTTCAACCACTTCGTTACCTCTTCTTGCAGCTGTGCGTCGTCATCAAAACGCTGCATAGCCAGCCACTTCTTCATTGCTGGGAATAGGTGGAAGTCGCTCGGTGCCAGGTCGGGACTGTACGGCGGATGAGGAAACAACTCCCACTTAAAAGATTCAAGAACTTTACGAGTGACATTTGCCGTGTGGGGCCGGGCGTTGTCGTGAATCAACAAGATCTTAGAGCTCAACATTCCTCTGCGCTTGTTTTGAATTGCTCTTCTGAGTTTTTTGGAGAGTTTGGCAATACCTTTGAGAGTTTATTGTAGTGCCTCTTTCCAGGAAGTCCACCAAAATTACACCTTTTCTGTCCCAAAAAACAGTCGCCATCATCTTCCTTGCCGACATTGTTTGCATGCATTTCTTGGGTTTTTGGGGAGAACTTGTGTGCCCCCACTGCATGCATTGATTGCAATTTCGTTTCACAGTTCACATGTTTCACCCATGTTTCATCACCAGTAACGATGCGATCGAGTAAAGAGTCACCATCCTTATGGTAAGCGTCCAAAAAGTTCAACGCTGCAGCCATTCACTGATTTTTGTGGTCCTCTGTCAAGATTTTTGGAATCCATCTTGCACAAAACTTGTGGTAACCAAGCTTTTCGCTGATGATTTCGTGCAACAAACTTCGCGAAATTTGTGGAAAACTCAAAGAAAGTTCCGTTATTGTGAAATTTTGATTTTCACGGACTTTAGCATCGACTTTTTCGAGAAGTTCGGCGGTCACTATGCTGGGTCTCCCACTTCGATCTTCGTCGTGAACATTGGTTCGGCCATTTTGAAATCTTATGACCCACTGACGCACTCCACCTTCAGTGATAATGTTGTCCCCATACACTTCACGAAGCTGCCGATAGATTTCTATCGGTTTACAGTTTTTTGCAGTCAGAAAAACCTTATTACTGAGCGCACCTCGCAGCTCGCGGGATTTTCAATTAAATTAACGCAGACATTTCAAACCGTCACAGTATCTGAACGGAGCACAGCACGAACCTCTCACTAGCACGGCTAGATGCAGACTGAGCTGCGCAACGCTCTGACCCCAAGATGACCGCGCTAGCCCCGCCCCTAGCGGACACAGACGGAAACGTAATCTACTTCCTGGATGGCCCTCGTAGAATTATAACTGTCGAGAGAAATTTCAGTCTTTCACTGCGAAACCAGATCTATTCTAAAACCAGTTATTATAATGAATTGATACAAGATTCGTAGTACCTCTTTGTTCTAGTGCACGTTTGAGAATTTCCAGCTCCAGCTGAATATTGATGCAGCTAACGCCTGTTTGATATATATTCTTCAATTTTACTATCTAATATAGTAGCGGTAAATTTCTATACCATCCAAAGGCAATTTAAGTTGCGTCTTGGTACCATGGTCAGCACAAAATGTTATGTATAGCATGTATTTAGGAACATGTCCTGGAACCAAAGGTTTCACAGGTAGAATGACATCGAGACCGAAGGTAAGACCACAGAAAGAAATGCAAAATGTCATTTGGAGTAAACGTTTCGGGAAAAATATTTATGACCTTAAAATTTTAAGACCAAAAACATAATGAAAGTTAACGAGATCACTTTAGGCGCTCATGGGAAAAATAAATTCACCAAAATCAGTTTCTAGTGATGTTATTCAAATACGTCCTAAAGTTAGTTTTATGGTGGTTAAATGTATGTAAAAATCCGCGGTTAGTAACATTAAATTTTACTTGCTTAACCACGCAGCCTTTGAGACAACATTTAGTAATAACTAGTCTAAGCAAATAATACTAAGGTTTAACATACTCTTTTCAGACAAGGACGCTTTCACTAGGGAATAAAAGTGTTATATGTGTACATATAATAAGTATTACATTCACTTGTTTAGTTCAACAAAAATATATCATTTTGTGAATACTAATGCTTATAGACTCATATTATTAGCTTCTCTTGTGAACTTAACTATATCTTCGAATGTTAATTTTCTTAAAATTTTATCCCTTGTGATCTTTGCGAGGATTTTGGTTCATCTTGTCAGAATACAAATGTCACCATCAGTTTTCAATTAATTGTAAACATTACTACCCTTAATTGCTCTCTCAATCTAAGTATGGAAATTTTATTATGTAATGTAAGCCGTAACTGTCAGCTAGCTTTGTTCGAGAAATATTTGCTTTACTGTTGGCTAAATTCGAAAGAACGAAGTTTTTTTTTTTTTTTTTTTTTTTACTCGAGGACAAATAAAACAACTTTTACAAAGTAAAAGCTGTATATGATATTTTAAATGGTTCTTTCTAATCAATAGTGCCATCTGAACTGTAGCATCTTCTAATGGTTATTTCATAGAATTTGAATGTAATTTTTAATAATCATTAAATTCTCGGCGGAATAGATAGTGACTGTCTTCAAGTCACCATTTGTTCCTTTTCAGTACTTTATACGTAAATAAAGAAAACACATAATTTCCTTATTATGCATAAAAAATTAATACCAGATAATTACCATAATAATTAACTATACCAGAGTCGTAAACCAATCATTAAATTAATA